GTCTTTGGCTGTGGGGCAAGGAGGAACAGAGTGGCTCCCATGAGGATAGAAGACACAAATTTGGTCTTGAAAACATTGAATGTTTCTTCATTGACCAGGGTTCTTTTAGTTGCAAGTGACAGAGGCATAATACAAACTAGTTAAAGTCAGAAAAAGAATTTGTTGGCTATCAAAACTGATCGTTCCCAGGGCACAGCTGGCATGGAGAGCTCAGTGTTTGCAGGACTCTCTGTCACTTGGTCTTTCCCACTCTGCTTCTCTGTTTCTGTAGATGTTACTCTCTCTTAGGAGGGCTTCCTCCCAAATGTCCTTAGACCCACGAAGTGGCATCTCTGTCCTGGGCTTCATGCCTCTGGGGACCCTGTGCTTTGGGGTAAATTCCTTGAATTTTTCTAAGCCCCTTGGATGCCTGGAACCCGCTGGAGCCATAATTGACAGTCAGGCAGGGTGCCCCAAACCCAGACCAGGACTCATATGGGCCCTGGTCCTCATGTCTCCCCAGTGGGACATCTGACTCTCTTTCACCTATGCAGGGTCAACCAGATATTCTGGGGAATTTTAGGAATCACATCCATGGAATTATCCAGGGACCCTGGGGCCAGGCCCCAGTTCCAGAAAGATGGTTTGGTGAATAGATCACTCTCACGAGGCAGTGTATTTCTTTCAGAGGATCCCATGAGATTGGGCCTCAAGAATGGTGCTGACAAGCTGATTTGGAATCCTCTTACTTCCATCTGATCTGAGTTCAGAGCTCTAGGCTATACTAGCCCTTGGACTTCCACTGTGTGTGAAGGCCCAAGTGCCAGTTAATCCTGTTCATTCATGTTCTGATTATGGGGCACCAGAGGGTGGTGGAGGTGGTGGCCGGAGTCCTTTATCCTGTGTGCTTCCTGCTGCTGCAGCCAGGTAGCCGCCCACACTGCTCCACAGGTCAGGATCTGTACCATGGGCTGTGCCTGTCTCCTCCAAGAGTTTCCAGATCATTGTTTCAAAGCACCAATGGGCCCTTCAAATTGATGTCCTCTCTTGCATATGATTGATGTGCTGTCTTCTTGGGCTAGTTGTCATTCATGCCAAATCAAGGACAGAGGTTCCTTGTGTAGATCCAGATAATAATAGAGCTCAGGCCTCTGCCCACCAACTCCCACATGGGGAATGGCCCGCGACCATCAGCATCTTTCTACCTTACATTTTTATTTCCCTCTCCTTCACCCATGATTAGATATATAACCCTTATACAGCCAGCACCAAGTGGTCCAGTTTCAAGGAGGTGCTATTCAAAGAAACACAGTCCATCTACCCTAATTAACTTCAAAATAACTCAAGTATTTTGCTTCTTGAAAATTACATGGCTTGGTGTGGTGGCTCATGCCTATAATCCCAGCACTTTGGGAGGCTGAGGCAGGCGGATTACTTGAGGCGAGAAGTTTGAGACCAGCCCGGCCAACATGGCAAAACCCTGTCTCTATTAAAAATACAAAAATTAGCCTGGCATGGTGACACACACCTGTAGTCCCAGCTACTCGGGAGGCTGAGGCAGGAGAAACACTTGAACCCACAAGGTGGAGGTTGCAGTGAGCTGAGATCGTGCCACTGCACTTCAGCCTGGGAGACAGAGTGAGACTCCATCTCAAAAAAAAAAAAAAAAAAAAAAAATTAGCTGGGCACGTTGGCGCGTGCACTTGTAACCCCAGCTACTCAGAAGGCTGAGACACAAGAATTGCTTGAACCCGGGAGGTGGAGGTTGCAGTGAGCCAAGATAGCTCCATTGCACTCCAGACTGGGAGACAGAGCGAGACTCCGTCTCAAAAAAAAAAAAAGAAAAGAAAAGAAAAGAAAGTTATATAAGGGATCTAAGTACTTGCTCCACAGGAATCCCATACATTCACCAGACAGTCCACAGCTGCTCCAGCAGCTCTCTTCAAAGTTCTTACCCTTGCCAAAACTCTTCCTAAATCCACAGCTCTTAAGGCTTTCTTCTTTATTTCTATGCCTCCCTCCAAGGAATGAATTATCTACATTTGTGCTGTCTAATATGGTAGCCGCTAGCCATATGTAGCTATTAAGCACTTGAAATATGGCTAGTTTGGTTTGAGATGTGCTGTAAGTGTAAAATGCACACTGGAGTTTGAAGACTTGGGATGAGAAAAAAAGAAATATAGAATGTCTCACTAATATTTTTCATATTGATTACATGTTAAAATGATAATGTTTTAAATATATTGGCTTCTATAGAAATATTTTTAAGATTAATTTGTACCAGTTTCTTTTTACTTTTGTAATATGGCTACTTATACAATATGATTCTATATTTATAAAGTATAAAATTACGTATGTAGCTCAGGTTGTATTTCTACTGGGCAGCCGTGGATCAGATCAACTAAGACTACCTAGAAGTCTTCATTTTTTTCTCCTTGCTCTGTGGTTCTTTCTTCTTTGCCCCGATATCTTGATTTAAAAACACAAAAGCTCCTATTACTGACCTGGCAGAAATGAAACTCTTCTTAGACAGGACGCCAAGGAGCAAAGGCTCTAGAAACAAATGCATTCATCAGCTTTGTCCCATCACACAGATGTTAACTTGCATTTGGATTCAAACTGACATTTTAGGAAATAACTAAATTCACAGTCTGTGGAAATTGCCATCATAATACTTTACCACATAGAAACAACATCGAATGGAGGAAGAAGAGTAAATTTTTTTTTCTGAAACTCTAACAAATTTACATTTTAGTCTAGAGTTTAAATTATTTCATTCATGAGGGAGCTTCTCTCTAAATTCTGTTCTTCCCAGGCCCTGCCACAATCCCATACTACTTAGTTGACGCAACTCACGTAAGACAATTAGCTCCTTTGATTTAAAACTGGCAGGAAACATTTTCCTGTTTCGTTTTCTGCACTTGGATAAATGTCCAGTTCCCAATCTATCATCACCAACAACTTAAGACTCCACCACTTAGTCCCCGCTTCAAGGAGACTGTCCTGAACCATGGAAGCAAAGCTGCCCTGACTCACACTTCACATAAAACATGTCTGGATGTTTGGGAAAACAGCCAAAAGCACTTAATATAACCTTACGATAAGAGATATAAGGTAGTTGGGAAATACAACAGGAGGATTCGTTTTAAGCTTTGAAATACTTTTTATCTGATAATCTTTTAAGTCTTTTTTGGATTAAAAAGCAATGCACATTGACAGCTAACAGGAAAAGAATTTCAATATCTAAGTGTTCACATATGTGAAAAAAATTGAATGTAAACTGAAAGCATGCATTTGAAATAAATCTTGGCTAATGGGCAAAATTATTCTCCCTAGATTAATAAGGGAACAATTTAATCTGGGTGGTTGTAGTGAAAGATTTAAAAGCTAACTACTTATTGTTATCAGCCTGCGGTTTTGAAAATCAGAAATGAACTTGAAAAATGGTTTCCTAGAACCTCTAAGGAATAGGGGAGATGGGGAAGACTTTCTCAGGTACGTATTTTCTTCCTATAATACCATATTTTTTTGCATATAAAGGACACACATATACAATTTTAGAATTTGTTAGTATTTTCTGTAGTTTTATATGTTTAATATTTCAGACAATTGCTTGTTCATGTTACTTGAGGAAGAGGAAGTAGAGTGTTGTGCAATTAAATGGAATCTCAAGAATTAACGCTGATATTTAGTAAGCCATTTCCTCTTACTGTAAGTGTCTAATTCATGCATTTCTCTATAAATGGCAAAGCTGCAGATCTCATCAAAAATTTCATACTCAAAATATGAATCTCTGAGTTCTCAGTTAACTTTAAGGTGTCATTTCTTAAACATTTTTTGAGACAAGAGGCAGATCAGAATTTAGATATTCCATAACTGTTTTATTTTATGAAGAGATGCATGTACAGACATGAGCAAACAAAAGTTTCTTGGTATTTGGCCTAGAAGATTCTATTTTTTTCTCCTCTGAGCTGAAGTTCCTGTGTGAGAGTGAGACCTCATAGTAGAGTGGAAGTTGGAAACATTTGTGGAGATACAGGCACTTAAGCAAAAATCAGAGATGAGCTGCAACTTCTCCTGGCTCTGGCCTGAGGCTGGCTGCACACATCACAAAACCCCAGGGTAATGTCCTCTAGCTCCAACCATGTTGTTGCAAAAGACAGGCTCTCATTCTTTTTATGGCTGAATAATATTCCTCTGCATATGTACCACATTTTCTTTATTCATTTACCCACTGAGGGACATTTGGGTTGATTCCATATCCTGGCTATTGTGAGTAGTGCTCCAATAAACATGAGATTGCAGATATCTCTTCAACATACTGATTTCCTTTCTTTTGGGATTATTTCCAGCAGTGGGATTGCTGGATTGAATAGTAGCTCTATTATTAGTTTTCTGAGGATTGTTCTCTATAGTGGTTGTACTCATTTACATTTCCACCAACAGCATATGAGGGTTCTCCTTTCTCCACATCCTGACCAGCATTTATTATTGCCTGTCTTTTGGATGAAAGCCATGTTAACTGGGGTGAGATGATATCTCATTGTAGTTTTGATTTGCATCTCTCTAATGATTAGTGAAGTTGAGCATTTTTTTCACAAACCTGTTGGCCATTCATATGTTTTCTTTGGAGAAATATCTATTCAGATCTTTTCCTCATGTTTTAATTGGATTATTTGATTTTTTCCTATTGAGTTGTTTGAGCTTCTTATATATTCCAGTTATTAATCCCTTGTCAGGTGGGTAGTTTGCAAATATTTTCTCCCATTCTGTGGGTTGTCCTTTCACTTGTTGATTGTTTCTTTTGCTCTGCAGAGGCTTTTTAGCTTGATGTGATCCCATTTGTCCATTTTTGATTAGGTTTCTTGTGCTTTTGAGGTCTTATTTAAGAAATCTTTGCCCATACCAATGTCCTGAAAAGTTTCCCCAATGTTTTCTTTTAGTAGTTTCATAGTTTCAGGTTTAGACTTAAGTCTTGAGATAAGGGTCTAGTTTTGTTAAGTGGAATAAACCAGGCACAGAAGGACACATTTTTCACATGTTCTCACTCATATGTAGAAACTAAAAATTTTAAAAAATTGATCTCGTGGAGATACAGATGATTACCAGAGGTAAGGAAGAGTAGCAGGAATGGGGGTGTAAAGTAGGAATGGTTATTGGGTACAAAAACGCAGTTAGATAGCATGAATAATATCTAGTGTTTAGTAGCATGATAGGGTGACTATAGTTAACAATGATTTATTGTGTATGTTTAAATAACTAAATGAGTGGAATTGAACTGTTCCTAACACAAAGAAATGATGAACACTTGAGGTAATGGATACCACAATTATCCTAATTTGATCATTACACATTGTACGCCCTGTATCCAAACATCAGATGTACCCCATAAATACATACAACTATTCTGTATCCATAACAAATAAAAATAAAACAAAAATGACCCCCCAAAACCCCAAGGTAGCAGTAGCCTTCAGAAATCTTTTTCCCCATCCTTCCTCTTTGCAGGGCTTGTCCTCAGACAAGTGCAATAGATGGCTGTATGTTCTTAAAGATCTCCTTGGGAAGCTGCCCAGCAGCCTCTGCAGCCTGTTCTAAGCCTAACACTCAAGAGGCCCTTTTAAATGTGTAATATAAATTTGCCCCACTCTAACCTGGGGCCCTGCGGGGTACTGGCCTTAACACCACATGCCTAGGTGAGACACAGGGAGAGAGGCTGACTCATTTCTGTCTCTGCTAAATATCCATTCTCTTATGTGTACTAGGGAAGCAACACTTTCTAACATTTCTCTTGAGACCTATGATTTGGGCCTAAGAAGATAATAATGAAAGAAATTATCTGGCTCTTTAATAAATCCTGCCATATGCCTGCAACCCCATCGGTACAAATTCTTATCTCAGAGAAGAAATGAGTCTTGAATGCAACCTACACTGATACTTATCAGAATCCTGTCTACAAAATGGGAAGGCCGATCCTTATTAGAAATAGGTGTCTGGCAAGGGCAAGAAATGAAAGTGAAGGTCACCAGCAACTAGAAAGAACAGCAGCTTGGGTTGTAGAACCCTGGAGAGGAAGGCATTTTGTCAGCCCTGCTAAGGCACATGAATGGCAATGATGGTGAGGTGATGTCTCCACCCTGTGTGCTGTCTGTAGACATTAAATATCTGGTTCTCTGCCTGATTTTTATGATGGCAAATTACTAAATGATTTCCATAGCATGAAGGGAAAACAGAGGAGGAGTCCAAGCCCAAATGCAAGTCTCTGCATTAAAGGAACATTTATCATGGACTTGAGCTGAGGCCAGGCTCAGGCTGCCAGATGGATCTGGAAGGAGCGATTGGAGAATATTTCCTTTGAAGTTTGGTGGTCAGCTGCTGCCGGCTGTGCTGATGAACCCATCTTGTTCTAGGAAGAGTAAGGCTATTATTTAGAAGGGAGGGAGTCCACATTTGAAGTTCTGTATTAACATTGCTACAAATGATAGAAAACTTTTTATTTCTAGGCAATGTTTAAAGCAACTTGCCTGATGTGGGTTTTGCCCATTCCCCTTAGGGTAGTAATTTTTAAAGAGCTTTAATTTAATGGAACAATTAGTATGTGAAGTAATCGCCAGCGGTGGTGGTGGGGATGGTTTTCAAGGCTCCCTGAGCTGGTCTCTGCCTGGGAAGGGAGCAGGGCGGGGGTGCAGCTCTGTGTGCCTACGCAAGTGGCAGGTCTTTCAGGGTAAATAAAGAGAAGTGGGTTCCTACTCTGTCCCTGTAGCCCACAGGCTAACAGGATGGGGTGAAGTAGGGAAAGAAGGCATACAATGTGGATCCGAAGTAGAAAGTATAAGCGGAGAAAACACTACAAGGAGGTCACAACCAGGCAGAGGGGATCCAATAGAGGAGGTATCTTAACATTCTCCCAGAAAGGAGCAGAAATTTGGGCAAGAAATGGAGCAGAAGACAGCAGACTGTGGTGGGTATGTGGGAAACTTTGAGGCACGTTAGGGAAGAGAGAATCATCAGGTTGGATTGGAATGGAGGAGAGTGTCTGGAGAAAAGTCTGGAAAGAAAGTCAAGGCCATGTTGTGAAAGGTCTTCCTTTGGGTGGGAAGAGCTGGAGGCTGCCACGGTAGCCCAGGTGAGAGAACGAGCATGCAGCGGCGAACGGGTGGGCAGAATGCACAGAAGAGCTACCGCAGATGAGGCTACTATTTAGAAGGGAGGGAGCCCACATTTGAAGTTCTGTATTAACATTGCTACAAATGAAAGCTGTTCTCCATTGTGGCTGCACATCAGAGTCACCTGGGAAGCTTAAAAACTAGTGATGCCTGGACCACATGACCAGAGATTCTGGTTTAAGTGGTCTGGGGTGTGGCCCTGGGCATCAGGATTTTTTAAAAGCTCCCCATGATTACTTATTCTAAGTTGCAGCCATGGTTGAGAACCACTGGTTGTAGCAGATTCTGATTCAATGGGCTGAGGCCTGTTCTAGAAAACTTGAGGCAAGGTTAGTGATGCTGGCCCATAGACCATTTTTTGAGTAGCACTTGACCATGCCACATCAGCACAGCACCTGCCTGCATTTTCACTTCTCTGGGGAGGAGAGATTACAAAAACTTTGACCTTTTTTCATCAGCTATTCCCTGGGATGTTGGGCCCTGCTAAGAGAGGGCTGCCTCATTCACTGGCGGTTGCTGCCCTTCAAGGACAAACGGGGACTTCAAACGGGAACACACACATCCTTGGGGCTATAGGAAGACCTTTCAGGGAGCATGCATAATTTTTACCAGAATCAACTTCCAAGTCCCCAGTTTCCACATGTGCCCTCTCCTAAAACAGATCAGCCTGAGCCTGTGCCTCCCCTCTGCCGATGTTCCTACTTCCCCTTCCTCAACCTCCCTTCTCCATGAAGGCAAGATTTCCCTCTCACCTGGTTTACCATGGGGCATAGTGCCAGGACTTCTAACAAAGGGGAATTAGAAAAGGCAGCCTCTCATTGTGCAATTAGAGTTTATAATAATAGCAAACACTTACACAGAAGTGTGGAGCAGTCCTTTTTCTAAGTCCTTTACATAAAATTATCTCATCTAATCCTCCTAATAGTCCTGTAAGTAGGTATTATTCTTATTCTCAATTTGTAGAAAACATTGACATAGAAACAGTTAAGTAACTTGCCCAAGGCTGATAAGAGGGACAGAGTTGAGATATGGCAGAGATTTTCTATCAATTGCATAAACTAAATATAAAGTTCCAATTTTTTGACAAAAACGTAACGTAATGCTCATATTCAAAATACAATGCTCTGACATCTTTTACTGTTATTTAAACACATGATAAAAAATCTTTATAAGTCAACTTTAAAATGTGCAAAAAAGGTCAATTCTTAGAGTTGGGTTGTGAGCAAAATATTTGAAGATCATTGATTTTGAGCCAAATAGCCCTGGCTATGACTCTTGGCTTAGTCACTATGCCATCTTGGCCAAATCCCACTCTTTCTGAGGCTGTCTCTCATCTGTAAAAATAGGGACAACGATCTCAGCAGGGTTGTTGAAAAGATCAAATGAGACAGCCCAAGAAGTGGCCTGGCCTGCAGCCAACTCAGGGTGAATGGCAAGTATTAACGTGGTTTGCGTCTGGCAAATCTTGGCATGTGGTAAGAGCTCCATGAATGTGAGTGCCCTTCCCCTTAGTAATGGTTCCCAGATTTGATTCCCATGGAAGCCCAGACATCTTGCGGAGAGGGAGGGGGTAGCATGAGGCCCCCAATTTTCGTGCCTCCCATTGTTTTCCCTTTTCAACTTCCTCAAAGAAAATCTCAAAGTGCACCTCCCCCAAGTTGTCTTTCCTGACTAATACAGCTTCACAGTGACGTTTCTCTTTCATCATTTGACTGGCTCATGCCAGGCACTCCACAGTTAATTAACCAATGAATGAATGAATACCGGGAATGGGGTAGTGAAGAAGGCAGGCATTTTCCCTGCCCTCATCAAACTTGCCGTCTGGTAGAGAAAACAGACATGTCACTGATAGATGCTATGGTGGAAGAAGAAAAGGAGCCAGTAAAAGCCCACAGAAAGGGCACCTACCCAGGCTAAAGGCATCAAGGAGGGCCTCCCAGAGAAAGTGTAGTCTAAGCTAAAATCTCATGGACACATGGAAGCCAGACAGCAAGAACATAGGTCTGTGTTCACAGGTTTGTAGGTGGAAAAAAAGCATGCTAGGTTCAGAGAACTGAAAATATTTTAGTAAACTTGGCTATAAAAGTGTATGTTTTCCAGTCTTGAACTTGATTTATTGCCTTTCCTTGGCCCTCCCAGACAATGGTGTGCTTCTGGAAGACATGAAGGACCTTCTACATCTTTTGTGTTTACCCTGTATTTGCTTGACTATGCAATATCCACAGCTGACACTTTAATAAATGCTTAGTGGGTGTGGAACTTACTAGAAAAGGAGACCTCTCTGAAGCTTCCTTGGAGCTCATTTCTACATTCCCTGGGCCTGGGCAGCACTGTATAGAATCCCTTCTAGCCAGAAAGGGGCTAACAGAATCCACCTATTGGCCCTTAAGACATGTATCTCCAGGAAACCATGCTCTTAAATATCTTTTCATGCATTATCGCAAACTCAGGGTTATGTATTAATAGGAGCATTTCACCTGCAAGGGGTATTCGTAGCCAGTGGCTCTGGGGCTGGGGCTCTGATTCTGTAGGATGGATGAATGGCAACGAATGGCTTGTCTCATTCTGCATTTCCTGTCCAAGACCAAGGAAGAGCACAGGGTTGGCAGGAGGGAGGAGAGAGCACGATTGTCCAGTCAGCCTCTGGCTGTATCATGGACAGGTCAGATCCAGTCACCAGCAGATGGACTCGGCCTTTCTTGCTGTTCCAAAGTGGTCCTTGCTAGCCATCTGTTCTCCTCTTCTCACACCCTTCAAGACTTTCTGATCAAGTCCACAAAACTGACTCCTGCAAATGACATTGGGAAATAAGCTGTGGTCACCAACAAGTCAAAACCAACTGAGATGGGATATTTCTTTTGAGGCATGAAAACAAAGATTTTTGGTAATCTTTTAGAGCATTCCTAGCTGAACACTTTTCCCGGAAATCCATAAGTGCTCCTTGTGTCCTAGAGAGCAATGAAATTTATTCTTACACCATCCACACCAACTGAATGCTAGTTATGAGATAAGCTCTAAGGTGGTCCATGATACCACCACATACATAGGTAAGCTTACTTCCCGTGTGTCTGCTGGAGAAAGCCGTGTTCATGGCAAATGCATTTATGTTTCCAGTTTTCAAAGTTCAGATCTGATTTTCCCTGGTTTGTGGCAAGCGGGTTGGCCAGCAAATGAAAATCAGCAGGAGGAGACTTTCCCAAAAATCAAAGGAAGATGGAAGCAGAATGTGAGAAGCCTGGGCTCAGCTAGCCTGGTCTCCAAGCCTTGGGCCACATGCAGTCTGGCTGGTACATGACCAAGGTCTGAGGTCAAAGGTGAGATTCCACACAGATGGAGACAGGCCAGTTGAGCCATGCCAGAAACTACCACTTCCTAAGTGCACCTCTTTTCTCTACTGAAAGCAGACCCAACTGTCTTTAGTGAGTCCTTTACTATGTCTGTTTTGTGTCCCCGCATTGACCCCACATATGCACTCTGAAGTCAGGAACAATCTTCTCTCCCCTCTCCCCTCCAGAACTCTAGAGGAAGCAACCATTTCATCCATGATAAGAACAGGATCCTGAGCTGACGCCTTCCTGCATACCATTTCCTTGGTTATGAGATGTTTTTACCCCAAATCCAGCCCCTGTCTTTCCCTGTTATTTAGGATTATTAGATGTATGCACTTTTCTACCACCTTCTTTTTCAAGAGACATCTTGTCCTGAGGTTCTTGTGTCGTTTGCTATCCATAGCATATGCCAGGTAAACATTCAGCAAGAAGCAAATGCTTCCAGCCACGTGAGTCATCTGAAATGAAAACACAAGCAGGCCTTCTGCTGGGACCAGTAGCCGCCTGCTGTTAGCTGGGGAGAAAAGACTTTCATTCGTTTTTGTCACCGAGCTGATACTGTGCCAACGCCCACATCTGGAAACAGTTATCAAGAAAGAAGAGGCATGCAAGGCTGGGTCTCATGACCCTGCAGCCTTCCTTTCTGCTGCTCTATTTATTAACGTACTGGTTTAGAGTGATCGACCTACGTCCCCAGAGTAAGTTATGGAAACTAAATTTTAAAAAGACCACTGCCGTCATACCAATCTACAAAAACAGGCCAAGGTCTAACTTATGGGGTCTTGGATGGAGTTTGTATCTAAATAAACACATTTTAAAGTTGCTTATTGTGTTGTACTTTAATCACTGAGCCAAGCCTTTTTAAGCTTTGTTTTAAGCTCTGTGCCCCTCCCCAGCTTGGCAGAACTCTGTCCTGTCTGTCTCAAGGGCTTGATAGAATTTGTACTTACTGGATCTGGACACACAGATAGAGGAGTCTGTTATTTTCACATCACACAGACCAACACACACAGATACACACTTGTTGCCCTTCCTTGCCTCCTTCACTATAAGTAACTAGAAAGTTAAGAAGGAACCTGAACTGTGTTTGTGTAGCACCAGCGCTATGTGATGGTACTTGCTGATCAGGCCCCGAAGGTGTAAGTAGAATCCACAAGGGCTTATTGGTTTTGAAGTTTGAAAAGTGCCCACAGAGAAGGCTTGAACCTATTTTTGAGAAGGACCAAATCAAGTCATAAGATATTTAGTAGATCTCTCTACAACAGAGGGAGGAATAAAAGTGGCCATTAAGAGTGAATACAGAGGAAAGCATTTCCTTCAGGCTTATATATGTCTCAGGAATTGTAAAGCGCTAACAAGAACCAGAAATTCAGACCGGCAGTCCTGTCTCTAGTACTAACCCCGTCTCTGGTTTCTGTTTTGATGAGTTGCAGTCTACCTTGCTGACTTGGCTTCACTGTCCACCAGATGATGAATCACCTCTTCTGGGAAGAATCTGGTTCCCCTCTGGCTACCCCAAACTCCCCCCGCCAATCCTTGCTACCCTCCCACCCCCGTTGTGTGGTGTGTGGTTGGGTACTTCCCTTTGGAGTCCTTTTGCGTATAGCCATGCATTTGGCACTTATTTCATTGTATATGTGCCTGGCTTCCCACCAGAGAATGACTCACTTGCGTCTAGAACCGTAATAAGCAGCCGACTGCTGAGCTCCTAACATAAGCTCAGTAAATACTGGTAGAATCTATCAAGAACCGCTTTCTGGAGCAAGCTGGTTGTTCACACGTTGTCAGTAGTATTTTTTAAAAATAATGTAGAATAACAGGACTAACTGAACTTCTAGTTAGACTGTTACTTCAGGAATGTGCTAACTAACATGGCAAATCTTTTCTAGGTACCCTGGAGGTCATTTTAATTTTTTTGTTGTCCTGCAATTTTGGTGTATATGACCATGCCACGAGTTTGAAGATTTCTCAAATCTTGATATTTAATTGATATTTCATCAGTGATTAATGAGGGATTAAAGGTTGTTGAGGACTACTAAGCAATTCTAGTTGATACACTGAAAGGAATACTGATTCATGGTCATCTAGAGAGTGGCTCCAGCAGCTCATGTCCCCTACCTGTCTGGAGAAGGTGATGAGTGGCTGTATGCTGGCTGCTTTCTTCCCCAAGCCTGCCTCACTACCAGAGCAGCTGCTAGAGTCTTGCTCAGTGAACATGTGTGCGAAGGAGAAGGTTTGAGGATTGTATTAGTCCATTTTCATGCTGCTGTTAAAGATAGACCTGAGACTGGGTAATTTATACAGAAAAAGAGATTTAATGGACTCAGTTCCACGTGGCTGGAGAGGCCTCACAATCATGGTGGAAAGCGAAATGCATGTCTTACATGGTGGCAGACAAGAGAGAAGGTGAGCCAAACAAAAGAGGTTTCTCCTCATAAAATCATCAGATCTCGTGAGAGTTATTCACTACCATGAGAACAGTATGGGGGAAACTACCGCCATGATTCAATTATCTCTCACCCAGTCCCTTCCACAACACATGGGAATTATGGGAGCTACAGTTCAAAATGGGATTTGGGTGGGGACACAGCCAAACCATATCAAGGATTTTCCAAAAATATGCAACTACATTACCTGGGGAGGGGACGCATAGTGGTTTAGGTAGGACAACTACTGGGGGCTGGGCTGCCTCTGTTCAAATGCTGGCTCTCCTACCCACTAGCTTTGTCACCACTCCAACAAACTTCTTCACCTCTCCAGCCTTGCCTTCTTCATCTGGAAACAGAAAAGAGGACAGTACCCAACCCATAAGATTATTTTAAGGATGGAATCACCTAATACATAAAGGTATTGAGAATAGGACCTGACACTGGTAAGCTCTTATTTTTCTTTAATAAGCCAGTATTCTACGTGGGCACATGCATGCACATATCTGTTTTTTTTCCTTCTGCTTGCTTCCCTGCCTCATTCTCAAACGTATAGCCTTTCCTAAACATAGCCTCATCTGGAGGAAGCTTAGAGGCTAATTCTTGCTTTTGTTATCTTTAGAAGCAGAAATCATTCTAAACGTTTGTAGCTTAACTGCAGAGCACTATGTGGTTTGTGTAGAGCACAGTATTCACCCCATTCCTGTCCCAGTGAAATATGAGGAGTCCCATGGATGGAAGACTGAGGAAGCAAATGCTGGGAAAGACTGGGGAAGGGGGCGTTATGGCTGGCCTGCCACTGGGCTCAGTACCCAACCACTCGATGAGGGACAGAGAAGTCTGGGGTGGGTATCATGGGGCACTCTACGTGGGGTTTAATTTTTGTTCTTTCCTGCCAGGGCAAACGTGCTGATCTGGACAATGAGCAAGTTCTAAAATGTTAAAACCAGCAGGCAAAATATGGTGGCTGTCATCTCACCAGCTCTCCAGCCTGCACAGATTAATTTCTATACCATGGATTTGAATGTCCAGGGTGTTTTGGAGTAGGGTGGATGGGGTCAGGATAGCAGCAAATTCTTAGCAATTTTGAAAATGGCTCTCAGAATGGCTGCTGTGGAGCCATCAGTCATGGCTGCATCAACCCTGCTTCCCCTTTCTACCTTCTGATGCTGGCACAACATTGCAGCTGGGGAAGCAGAGACTTTCTTTCACCTAGCATGAGGGAGCATCCAAAGGATCAGGATGTGATGTTGGGAGCACCAGTCCCAGAGAAGTTCACTCCTTCTCCTTCATGCTGGGACTTAAGGCCTGTGCTAGGGAAGATGGGGAGGGACCCAGATCCAGTGTTCTTTAAAGCCCTTCAGAATCCCTGCCTGACCCAGAGGGCCATGCAAATGAGTCTAGTCCACAGCATATAGTGGAGCAGTCACCTACAGCAGAGCCAACAAATGTCTTTGTCTATTCCGACCACTCTATTAGAATAGGTGTGAATTATGTTAGAAAGAATTTGGGAAGCCAGTCAACTGATGGATCTGCAAATGCTAACTGGGCTCCATGCTGACTTATTAGGAGGCTGTAAAAGAATCAGGGAACAAACACATGGGCTCACTGTGATGATGGATGTTAGACTTCAAAAAGGAGAGGCTCCATCCAGTAGAAGAGCCACAGAAGGGAGACCAGCTGAAAAAACAGCAGCCCAGAGAGGTGGAGGAATTTGCCTAAGCAATGCTTCTTAGCAAAGCTGGTTTTGGAGGAAGAGAATCACATACGTGTGTAGAGGCAAAAAAGGAGCATAGTGCTCACTACACGGGGAGCAGAGCAGGGCTGGGGCTGGGGGCCTGAGTGGGTGGAAGAGGCACAGGCCAGCCCTGCAAGAGCCCAGGCTGAAACTGGGACACAGGGAAAGCAAGTTACATGAAGCAAAGGGGGAATTTTGCAGAGGACTTTAGAAGCCAGGTACAGTAGAAAGAGGGCAATACATGGGGATTATGGATGTATGTGTTCTTTCAGTATAGGGATTATGGATGTATGTGTTCCTCTCATCTAGCCTTTTTGTATTTTTAAAGGTTTTTTTTGTTTGTTTGTTTTTTGTTTTTTTTTTGTTTTGTTTTGTGATGTGCCTGTATTTCTTTTAACATGGTAGGGTGCTGGAGAGGATGAGATGTTCATCAAAAAAATAGATAAATAAACAGAGAAGTCTGGATTTTCTTTTACAAACAATAGAAGCCATTGGGAGTGTCCTAGAAGAGCAGTGTTTTGGTAGAAGTGGTGTTTTAAGAAGATAAGACCAGCTACGTTGGGAGATGGATGACTGAGGTGGGAGCTGATGTCAGACTGGCTGGAGGCTGTGGGTGGTGAGAGGCAAGGCAGTGGGGACCTGGAGTATTTGAGTAGTAGAAGGGGGAACAGAAACATCTAGGAGAACCTTATAAAGAACACCTGCAGGATCTTGGTGACTGATTGCATGTGGGTGACCAGAGAACAGGGACCAGCAAAACTGAATGCAAGATTTCCAACCTTGAGCTGCACCATGGGCAAGAATGAAGAAATGAAGAAGGGGAGCTGGACCAAGGAGCCAAGGGATTTCTGCACTTTGGAATGAATCGCTGCTGGGTGGTGTCCATTTCCCTGAAGGCCTTTGTTCTACGTGCAAGAAAACTCAAGGGAAGCAGAGGAAAGACATGTGTAAGCCAACAATCATCTGTGGGCATCCCTCCACTAAAGTATTTGAGGTCAGGCAATTAAAGCAACCTCAAAAATGCCTCTGGATTCTTCTTAGATATTTTAGCAGAGCCAAATCAATGAAACTCTCATGAAAAATCAATTTCCCTGGAAAATGAAATTGGGTTCTAACCAACAAGTAGCATTTGGCAGGCCCTGATTAAGAAAGCCAGTGTTTGGAGAAGTTCTAAAAACAGCCAAGTCATTTAAGAAACTAAACACTGGGGCCTAATGCCATTCTAGGGCTGCAACGGCTGTTCTGTTCCCATCAATTGCAGAGCCCGAAGCCTCAAGTTTGTTTTAAGTTCCTGCCGTTACAAACCTGTTGACCATCCCAGCCTCCCTTGCAGGCTTTGAAAAGAGAGAAGAATGGAAGTTGACTGAGCCCAATTTCCCCTCCCCATCCAGTGTGTAGAAGACACTGAATATGCAACAACTGACCTTGCACCTGGGCATCTTGAAGGTCATCCACAAAGTGAGCTGGGTCTCAGCAGAAAATGAGAGTTCCTCTGTGGTCATTTCACTGGTATGCATTTTCAGGTGCATTCCGTTTTCTTCCATGCCTACATAAGTCGAATCCTGTTTTAACTGCCTCTGAGCTCGTAAGCTATTTAACTGTAGTTAAATAGCTGTAGGCCTGTGCATACAAATCACCTAGGGATCTGGTAAAAATGTGGATTCAGTGGGTCTTGGGAGGTTATAAGGTTTCGCATTTCTTCACCAGAGCTAGAAAATAAAATAAATAAATAAATAAAAATGTTTTTAAAATTTCCACATTTCTAACAAACTCTGGGGTTGTGCCGATGATGCTGTTTTGCAGATCACATTTTGAGTGGCAAGATTGTGGAAAATCCTTGAGAAATCAGTCCAAAATCCCCTAAATGGTACTACAATCATGCCTTAATGTTAGCAAACTGGGATGTTTCTTACTTTTATTTGTAACATGGAAAAAATAATTACTGTATATGAAGTACCATTCTAAGTTCTGTGTGTTATACAAGGGATGGCAATTTTCTCCCAAATTTGATTCATGTCTTTTCATTTGGATATCTCTTGCCAAAACTTACCTTTTTTTTTTCCTCCCTAGCAAGTCTTGGGGAGCTGAATTTTAAGAGCTCTTTATTTAGCTACATGTGGCCTCTGAAAATGATTTTGACTGTGTCTTCTGTCTCCACGGATGCCCAAGCATCACCAGGAACTTTGGGGAGTATGGAAAAGGCAGGCCTGGGGTGAGCTGGGCTGCAGATGCCAGCTCTCCCACCAACAGGCCCAGACCAGTTTCTTTCCTAGGTTTCTTTGTGAAGAACTTGTTGGAACTACTAATTTATCATGATGCGTAAAGCTTGTTGTCATGCCCTACAGGGTTATTTTCAAAAACTGAACTGTTTTTGGTGACCTTTCATGTGCCACAGAATGTAAAAGCAGTCATTTTTTAAAGTGCTTGAAAAAGTTGAGTAAAGATTCTTCCAAGCAAGCCTCACTTTCTCCTGTTTAGATTGTTTAATCTGGAAGGAAAAAATTCGTTCTCAAATGACAGGGCTTCTGGTGCTCTGTGTTTGCCTGGTTGGCTCTGGGTCATCTGGGGATGGAGGGTCCCTGCTCCCACCTCCAGCAGCATCACTCTTGTCTCCAAAGAAGCAACAACCTCAGGTGGGAGAATGTTTATACTCACAGGATTCTGCTTTTCATGTTTGAAAGAGGGAATGGGTGGTGGGTCATGGAGGTGGGATTTTAAAAAAAATATCTAAACCGTAAATAAAGTATTACTGCAATCTCTTTACTGAGCTCATGGAAAAACTCAAGTCATCGAATGTTAGTTTTGTAGACTAGAGAAGTGAGGTCCAGTGAACTTGCTTGACTTGCCCTAAATCTTGCTAGAGAGAGCTGGAACCAGATGGCAGGGCTCCTGGCCTCTTACATACAAGGAGCATTTTTCCTAGAAACTGCAATGCAGCCAAATTCTACTGGTCTCAGGGGAAACTTGTTCTGGGAGTCAGCCTGAGCTTGAATCCCTTTGGGTTCTTCCCATTATCCTATGCCAAGCTGTCATGCTGAAACCGAGAAATGTTTTGCTTTCAACAAGTGAAATGAGCATTTTCAGATAATTATTTCTGTAGTTTCTCAAAACTATCATATCATTTAATTGAACCCTACTATATGGAACAATTACTGGGAGAGATAATAATAATAATAGCAATGCATATTTATTGGCCATTTTAGTCGAATTGTATCATGTAATCTAGCTTAGAGTCCTGTGAGGTGGGTTTTATTATCCTGTCTCTGAGGTTGAATAAGTTGTCCAAGGCCACACAGCTAGGAAGTAGTAGGACTGGTATTTGAACCCATCTTCTCCTTTTCTTCCCCTTCCTCCTCCTCCTAATCCTCTCTTCCAATACCTGCTCCCGAGGAAGCTCATCCAGTGCATGATGTTAGCTACCGCCTGCTCGTGATGGTGACTCAAATCTGCATCTCCAATCCTGACACCTCTCCTGAGCTCTAGACCTTTGAATATAGCTCCCTCCTGTCCATCCTTCCTGGAAATGAAGGTGGCTGGCTTGTCATGCATAATGTGAACACAAATGGAGCACTCTCCTCACACACCCAAATGTGCACCTTCACCAGGG